TATCTCAACTGTGCAATGCACTGCAATATATGTAACAAAAAATCTTTAATTTACCTTAACTCACGAGTCTTATCCTCAAGCATCTCTGAGCATGCCATAGCTATTATTTTCCTGAGAAGAAAATGCAAATAGGGTTATCCAATTATCACACACAACATAATAAATTTCTCTTGTAACAATATTATGTTTTGGACATTATATGTGGTGTTTTTGGATATACCAAAAGAGTATCGAGTTTAAATCTTACTTGAACGACAAATATTTTCTTCAACAAGATAATTTTTTTTATTTTTTTATTTTAACTACATCCAAAGATTAAGGAAAAAAAAATATATCCATATGACTCCAAGTTACAAACAAAATATGACAAATAATATATGAATTCCTAGGATTATTATTTCTTTGAGAAGGGATTAGTCAATTGGAAATTAGTTGCTACCAAGTGCTTGAATAACTCTAGCTATTAAACGTGCAATATGGTTTTGCCTTGTATGAACCAAAGACAGCGCTACAATTGATAACATTATCCAATGAAGAAATTGGATTATTTATGAGATAATTTGATGCAGGTGGAAGTATAAAAAAATATAAATACAAAATTATATTATCTTTAACATATTTCAATGACGTAAATGTTATCCCACGTAGCTTAATTCTAAAAATCTTGAAAAACTTTAATGACTAACAAAATTTTTCGTTTCTATTCTATTGTATCCCAATAAATTCGCCCACACATCCGGAGTTATTGCCTTGCAACGATTACAAATAACATTATTTTTTGGAATTTCCAAATGTTTCTAGAAGTGTGTTTGATCTTAAGACGTGACATTCTAATGCAAACTGATCATTTAAGTGTGAAAATATTCATTTGCATAATTATGGTTTCAACTTTTCCAACTGCCATAATTTTGTGGTGGTCTTCGACTCACATTGAAAATTGATATTCAAAGTCAGTATATTGATCGAAGTCAAGTATCTCAAACTTCTTCTCGAGAATCCTGATATTAGTTTCCTCGAAGAACGATAAATTTGTGTTGGACTTCATCTTAACATCGTTCAACAATCTGAATTCCCAGTCCTCTCGATGTTGCTCACCAATCCCATAACCAACATCGGCTCCTCAATTGCCGGAACTCTCTCCCTTCGAGCTTTCCATTTACAACTCTATCCATAATTAGGCTCGCAACTAGACCCACAATTGCCCCACCCTCATGCACTTGCGACCGCCACTTCGTGCTGCTAGTCCATGGCCGTAAAGGTTACCCACCATCTCTTGTGGCGGGATAGTCAATCTAGCCACTTTTTTGCCAAGACCTCAAGACGTTGATTTGTATTAGTTTCATTTCTAAGATTCCAATTATCAACCATGACTTGTAACTTGTCCTCCTTGATCAGTTGTTAGCTGCATAACGTGGGCTATGATACAAACTCATTTAGGCAGAAGTGTAAACTATACCAAATAGGGGGATTATAAAAGAAAATACACGCATGAATTAACCATTTAGGTGGATAATTGAAGAAAAATCTCAAACTTTCTGTTCACATCCAAAATCAATCATCCTACAACACAAATATAAAACAAAATTTATATAAAACTACGACTAGCCTTTTAAGCAAAACAAACTCTAGAAAACTTACTAGTTTGATTAAATTCTTAAGCCGAATAAAACCCCTACTAAACATAAAAAAAATGACAAAAGACTAATTAATTATTAATATTAATAATTAATCAATAAGATATTAAATAAAACGGGACTACCTGCATTATGGATTTAGCCTCATGGAGTAATTACAATCAAACATAAATCTACATTTAATGAGCTGGCGACAATCTTGTTTGCAATATTTGAACTCATACGGTACTATTTCAAATTGACTGCATTAATTCGATGTCGAAGTCTTATTCATCTTTATTTCCTTGTTATAATTGAAGTAGATACAGTATAAACACGAACAACAAATTTATTGCATCATGCAGAAGAACAAAACGAGAAGAAACCATGTTTTCAACTAATTAAACTAGGGGAAAAAGAAATCAAAATCTAATACATTTTATACATAGAATGCTTGTTGGGTACCTGATAAAGAACTCAGCATTATGATTGAATGCGCCTTTGGTACCCAATACGGAGCTCAATAGTATGACTTTATTGTTTCTACTTTATTATTTCAGGTGCCAACAAGAATTATAGGGACTTTATTTATGTGTGTACAAGTATGAAGAACTTCTTAGTGCCACTTTGGAACGTTAGAATATATAATCCTCAGCCATTTAAGCTATTAGGTATCATAAATTAATGTGTAGTCGTAGATGTTGAATACTACTTGAAGATTCTTACATAGAGATTTCACATTCCATTTATTGCTGTGAGATGGTCAAGTTTGAAACTTCAGTAGGTCTATGTGTTGTTTAAGAATTAGAAACAACCAATGGTACTGTGAGAGATGATATCTGAATGAACAGTAGACCAAAGGATTTTTTAACCAATCCAATCAAGTGCAAGCTGGAATGAGTATCTTGTCGAATGTACGAGGCATGCACGCACGCGCAAATTTCATGGGTGCCTAAATACTTCAACTTAAGACATTTACATGACATAGTACCATTTTAAACAACATTATTTTAAAGTTTAAGATATATCAAAGAGGAGTATGTCCTTGATAATACAAATTTGGATAGGAAAACAGCTAATTTCTCACAAGTTTTTTAACCTTAGTTATGCTTAGTTTAAGGAACAAAGCATGAACCTTAGACACAAAAAACACATAAATCAAATCATCTCTCACAGAGGGCGCTTTTCACTCATGACTAATGTCCACAGTCCCACCTTGACTCTCAAATGAACATATTCAATAGCATTGCCCCTTATTAATATTAAAATTGATTCAGAGAAATGCAGAGGAAATGCATTATTTCATTATTCACCAGTGTAAGATTGACGAGGATTGTGTACACATTTGTAGATAGAAACTTTGAGCAACACATGGTAAGTAAAGCACGTAAGGAAATTAAACTGTCCATGGAGAAAGTTTGCTTAATTCGTGCAGTGAACGTGATTTGTGCTAATCTTGTGCTAGAGTTTAGGCATGTGACTCGTGATACACTCTTTCAAGTTGGAATATGAAGGTCCATAATGCCCAAATTGGAGTGGAAAAGGTAAAACAATTCATGTCCCAAGGGTTTAGTAAAAATATCCGCTTGTCTTTCAGAGGTTGAGATATAAGGAGTAAGTGGACCATAATGAATCTTCTCGTAAGACGAGATGACAATAGAATTCCATGTATGGTTTGTTCATGAAAAGATGGATTTCGAGCTATGTGAATGGCTGTCTGGTTGATACATTGAAGAAGATAGGCTAACGATGGAGAACCATGAGAGCTTGCAAGAGAAGAGGAACCTAAAAAAGTTCCCAAGTGGTAGCGTCCATCGCACACTTTTCAGCTTCATCCGAAGAGCAGGGATAGTAGCTTTCTTCTATGAGCGCCAAGACAACTGCATTTAGATAAAAAGAGAAGACCATAACCAGAAGTGGTCTTCAAATAGCAAAGCATACAAAGAGCAGCTAGATGATGAGGCTCATAAGGAGCATGCACGAACTGACTTAAAATATTGACAACAAAGGTTATATGTGGCTGGAAAATGGTTAAATAGATCAAACCCTAACTAATCGTCGATATGAGCTGGGATCTTCCTTCCATGAAGTCACCATCCAAGTTATTAAGTTTACAGTGTTATTCCATGGGAAAGTATGCAAAATGATAGCCTAGTTGACCAGAATCAAAGAGACTGCCCAATAAAAAAGTTGTCGGTAGGAAACCTAGCAACCTCAATCCCAAGAAAATACTTGAGGTCAGCAAGGTCTTTAATCTTGAAGGCCTTTACAAGTGTTGTTTGATGGAATTGATGGCAGATAGGTCATTCCCAGAAACCAAAATGTCAACATAGATAAGGATGATAATAAATACCTTGCTCTAGATTTTGATGACAAGACTATGATCAGCTAAGGATTGGCCAGAACCTGCAAGAGTGAGGACCATAAGATGGTTTCAAGTAACATTGGTGAGAGGTTTGTTTAAGGCCACATAGAGATTTGTGGATACGACATACACGCATCTCTCCCTTAACAACAATATCTTGATATCTTGGTGGAGTTGCATATATACTTCTTCATCAAGGTCACCATGGACGAAAGCATTGTAAACGTTCAACTGCTGAATAATCTAATGTTTGTCTACAACTGTAGTAAGAAGACAACAAATAATAACAAGTTTAGACACGAGCAAACGTACCGTGAGAATCAGGGCCCTCTACAAGAGTAAAATCATTGGCAACTAAACAAACTTTATTGCGTTCAATGGAACCATATGCATGCAATATTATTTTGTAGATCCATTTACAACCAATAGCCTCTTACCAGGAGAAAGAGTTTCAAGAGTACAAGTATGATTAACCTATACAACTTGTATTTTGGAAGTCATCACCTCTTGCTAATGAGG